CAGCGTTGTCTCAGTGCAGGTTCTACTTCATATGGTTACCTACATACTTACACTCGATCTGTTTCAAGCTATCGTTTTTGCTCCATCGCTGTTCATGGGAAATTAATAAATATTTGTTACAGTCAGTAACAGCTGAAAGCTCAAGTGTCCGACAGTTTGCCTAGTTCAATGACCGAGATGTGTCTCGCAGATGCTGTGTCCAAATGACCCTCTTCTCTTCACTTGTACTGTCACTGACTAGGCCTTCTGCCTGCTGCCAGAGTAACTGACTACCCTCTGGAGTGAGTGCACGTCACTAGTGGCAACATGACTAGTACTAGTTGCGAGCTCACGTTCTCTACCAGATGGAGTCACTGTAAACAGTCTCACAATGCAGTTAGTGATGGATCTAGTTAAACTACAGACATTAAGCACTGGCTATCGACAGAGGCCTCCACTGTTGGCGTGGCAATCCGTCATCAAATCTCGTGATGCTAGCAACTAGCAACAGCATGTGACAGGATGAGGCGTCCATGTCCAGTAGGCCACAGGTATAGCCTCAGCATTTCAATGTGATGCAAGATCACCATGGAGCTTACGCACTACTGCACGGACCCACAGGTCCACCAAAGAGTCTCTGAGCCAGGTTGTGATCAGCCAACACTGAGATATCCAGCAGTGGTGCGTCGGGTCTGCCAGCCATGACTGAGGAGGCACTGGAGTGACCATCAGTGAATATAGAGTGACTGTTGATGGTGGGATGACCCAGACTGTCAGCCATGATGATAGTGAGATGTCTTCACTTGCCACCATTACTGTACCACAGTTCACACCAGCTACAGTGTGTCAGTGACTGCCATCAACTCTTGTGGTCTCTCCAGTCAGCCTGCCACCACCACTGTCTTCATTGAGGCCAGAGGTTTGTGGAATTCATAAGAGATAATAACGAAGCACTTATTTGTATGATGACAATGCTGGTGTTTATTTCAGTTCCACCTCAGCCTACAGTACAGTCTCTCTTGTCATGTACTGCGATGTTCCTTCTGAGTGGTGGTAGACCTGTTGTTACTCAATTGGACGGGTCAGCTAGTGGTTGATTGCAGTACACATGCACACAAACATTTGGCAATGTTATCTAGGAGGGAGAGAGGGAGGTGGGGTGGTGTATCCAGGAGAGGAGATGACAACAGTGGACCTGACTCCAGGAGGACCATATGCTCTCTTCTCTTCAACACCTAACACCAGTTGTACGTGCTACCATTACCAATGACTGCCAGCAAACTACAACATCTCTATCACTCTCTCTAATGATATCGGGTCTTCTCACCGTATCCATCATCTTTAACTGTTGAGCTTCAGCCTTTAAGTGTGTGTGTAGCAACTTCAGAAAGAACTTTACGCTGTGAACGAGTTTTGATATGAATGGTGTCTCTCTATTAGCTGCCCATGGAGGTGGAGGAGGGAAGAGATCAGCTGGAGGACCTGCCAGTCGTAGTCAGTCTGACCCTCTCTGTCGCAGTGTCCCCTACACAGTGGGGCTGTCGTTGGAGTGAGAGAGAACAGTGGAGAGGACGTGTCTTCCTCAGCAGAACGTGACAACCAACATCCTCCCTGGAACCCCTGTCATCCTGCCTATTAATGTCACTACTCTCCTCTGGCAGATGGCCAGCGAATACTGTTTCACAGTTCCCCAGCTAAACCATGGAAGGTGGTATGTTAGCCATAGGATAACCAATGTAACAATTTAATTGCCATTTATCCTACTTAACTAGAACCTGCCTACTGCCAGTACAAGCACTTGTACTGACACTAGAGAAGAAGAAGGGAAGCAGTATATCAACTGGAGTTTTGCTGTGGCTATAACACTCTGCCATCTCTGTACTGGTGGCTCATACCAAGCGGCGGTGTGGTCATTGTTCCTGTCGGTACATTGTTTGGCAATTCGTAAGAGGACAGTGAGAAAAGAGGAGAGAGGAAAGAAAGAAGGAAGAAGAAAGACGGACGCTTGTCAGCGCAAGCATCTATGCAAGGAAAGCCCAGTTCTCATTCTGGAGACTGCCATTCCTCTCTCTGGAAGAACCAGGAATATGCCCCAGGTCTCTTCTCAGAGGTAGTAGGGGGGTGGTCAACTGTGTCTTTTAACATACAGTATTATACTTATGTAGTTTCAAAATGTTCAGTAATCAACACATCCTGATTACCATTTACTCAACAATGGGCAAGAAATAATATCAAGCGGATAGCTACTTTAATACTTCATCGAAGTTCTCCAGTAACAGAGAAATAATTTACAGGCAAGTGTGTTTTTTATCCTCATCCCAAAATCTTTGTCCACAAAATTTGTGTTCTGCTATCCATGAATCAGGTATGCACTGCTTCGTCTGCTTCGGAGCGTCGACCCGGCACTGCCGGCAGCCGACTGCGCATTCACTCACTTCTACTGCCATTTTGTACTGATCGACGCCGCGCACGCACGCAGGGCGTGTCCGTCGTCACCCCGAAGATTGCCGCTACGTTATGTAGCTATGCGTGAAATACCATTACTGTGGTTGGGCATCGCTATCAGCGTTGTCTTCAGTGAGTTCTACTTCATATGATACTTACACACTTATTACTCTCTGACAGAACTGTTTCAGCTATCGTTTTGCTCCATTATGTTCATGGGAAATATATAAATTTGTATACAGTAGTAACAGCTGAAGCTCAAGTGTCAGCAGTTGCTAGTTTCAACGACTCGAGATGTGCTGGGCAGATGGTGTGTCCAAATGACCCTCTTCTCTTCACTTGTACTGTCACTGATAGTCCTTCGCTGTTGCTCAAGTAACACTACCCTCTGGAGTGGGAGTGCAAGTCACTAGTGCCAACATGACTGAACTAGTTGGAGCTACTTCTCTACCAGATGGAGTGACTGTACAGTCTCACAATGCAATAGTGGATGGAGGACTAGTAAACTACACACTAACACTGGCTATCGAGAGAGCCTCACTGTTGGGTGGCAATCCCATCATATGTGATGCTAGAACTGTGTCACCGTTGACAGATGAGGCATCATGTCCAATAGCCACAGGTATATACAGCATTTCAATGTGATACAAGATCTGTGAACATTACACATCACTGCAGACCCAGGTCAACCAGAGAGTCTGAGTCAAAATATATCAGCCAACACTGAGACATCAGCAGTGGTGCAGTGGGGGTCTCCAGCCATGACTGGAGGCAATGGAGTGACCATCAGTGAATATAGAGTGACTGTTGATGGTGGGGATGACCCAGACTGTCAGCCATGATGATAGTGGAGATGTCTTCACTGCCACCATTACTGTACCAGAATACAACACCAGCTACAGTGTGTCAGTGACTGCCATCAACTCTTGTGGTCTCTCCAGTCAGCCTGCCACCACCACTGTCTTCATAGAGGCGAGAGGTATGTATTAGCTATAGAACAATGCCTAGATTTGCGCGACATCTGAGAACATAATGTATGGTGGACAAAACTGGGGAGTTTGTTTGCTTCTCTCCTACAGGCTAACGCCAGAAGGCTTTCAGGGGTGAATAAGTAAACGTTTTTTTTCTCTTTCTGCCGAAGCAGTAGCGCTGCAAAGAGCCAACTGCGACTTTCGTTGCCACACTGAGTTGCATGTAAGCAGCTTCATGTTTAGGAGTACAGCATTGCACAACGTATCCATTCTTTGTCATCTTATCATCACAGCCCTATAGCTCATTGATTTTGCACAATAACCTCGCAACATACTCATTATGTATGTGTGTATGCCTACTGTGGCACTCGTACACTGTAATTGATCTCTCTTGGTTTATGGTACGGAAGATTTTAAAACATGCGTGTATTAGTGAGTGAGGACACCAAGAGCATAGTGTGTATCAAAACGTTTCAGTCGCACCAGGCTACCATCTTCAATGGCATAATGTGTGTTTTTATCCCATCGTGCATGTGCAGCTAAGATTACGGTCATTTGGTTTGTCCCTCTACTTATCAAGTTTGATAAGGCAATCAACACTGAAACTGCTTAACTAAAAATTTAGAGCGCCTCTACTTCTGTGTCACTTCTTTTTTATGTGCAATGCATTTTGTCATAACTGCCTGTGATCCCACAGTGCAAGGGCTTGCACGGACATGGATGCACAGGCATTAGTAGCAAAAATTAATGCGATTTTATGCCTAGTGCCTCTTTGAGCACCATATGGATGTGCATTCAATTCTTGCCGTGTAAAGTTTTCATGAAGAACCGATAGTCTTGTGTCTTCATTTGCTTTGCACTTGTATAAAGGAGCAATTTGCTCCGTGCTTTATATTTTACCCCGTGCAACCGTGCACACACACTGTGATATCTGGTGTGCATTAATTAGAATTTACTGACCGCCCACGATTGTGTCCGCATTTATGTGCATGTGCGTATGCGTGCATATGAATAATTGAACATCCGAACGTGTTCAGACGAAACGATTTTCATTCTAAGACTTTCAGAATGTACTGTACTATACAACTGATGATAACTGTTTTTATTCAGCACCACCTCAGCGTGAATTGTCCGTCTCAATGAGCTGTGATACTCTTCTTACCGACGGTAGACCTATTTCGATCAATTGGACGGTTAGTTCATATCCTGTGTTGTGTGTCATGGAGAGGTTGTCTGCTATGTACATGCATACCCAGGGTGGTGATAGAGAGGTAAGGGTTGTATATCCTGGAGAAGAATCGGTGCTGGTTGAATTAACTTCCCTCAGAGGGACCGTGAAGCAAGTGTGCAGTGATATGAATGGATGTGATTTTACCATCTCTGTAAGCGGCGACTACACAGTTTCACTGACTATCACCAATGATGTTGGATCATTCATGGCTGTGACAAGCTTTAGTTGTGAGTCAGATAATAGGTGTGTGCCCCTAATTTACCTTCTCCTTTCCCCAGCTGAAATTCTGTTTTCTGACGAAACCCTAAACTCTTTACCCTCAAGTGTGAACATAACTGTGAATCGTTTCTGTGCCACTGATGGCAAACTGTTTCAATCACAGTTAGATTTGGAGTAACAAGTGATACTGGGGGTAGCTGTACATATAATGGTGACAGTCAAACTGCAAATTCGTCACCTAATGGAAATATATTTTCCCCTGATTTTACCCCGGCAACTGGAGAGAGTTTCTGCTACGTGGCTATCCTTACCATTGATGGGAATAAATGTTGCCAGTGAGTGGTATTTGTGGTCAAACAGCCTTACATTACTGCCTTATGCAGGTCTCAATGGCTCTGGTGACATAACTCCTACTAAACCACCTACACCTAGAGAAGAGAAAGAGAGTATATCGACTGGAGTTGCTGTGGGTATAAGTACAATCATCACTCTATTGGTATCCTTACCAGTGGGTGTGGTCATTGGTTCCTGTGGTACATTGTTCGCAATTCGTAGAGGAGGCGGAAGAGGAGAGAGGAAGAGGAAGAAGAAGAAAGAAGAGTTTGGAGGAGCTATCTATGAGGAGCCAGTTCATTCAGTGGAGACTGCCATTCCTCTCTCTGAGAACCAGGCATATGGCCAGGTCTCATCTCAGAGGTAGTAGAGGAAGGTGGTGAACTGCGTATTACAACATTACAGTATTATAGTTATGTAGTTTCATTCAGTGTACATTGTACAGTAAATTATCTCGTCAATTAGCTACTCTTTAATTCGAATTTAGTCAACCAATGGGCAGCGAAATTACATCATACTTTGCACTTGCACAGCAGAAGTCTCAAGGTTTCTGCACACATAAGCCTTCTTTACCATAGCATTTACCTTTCTGCATATCTCCTAAAACATAGCTACATGCTAGACACTTACGGTTTACATACAAGAGATTTTATTCCAATATTTACCCTCGTGGGAAATGGGATATGACAGCCGGAATGTACACTGACCCGCCACCGTCCTATATACCTGTGATCCTATCTGACAGTGGCATCAATGATGAAAAGTTCAGAGAGGGAGGAGAGAGAGAGGGGTGTAGATTACTCTGTGGAGAGTCATTTCAAACACTTCATTCTTGATCCATGTGCTTCGATATTGGTGACTGATGTGTTATCTAGTGTGGCTGAGTATAATAAAACAGAAGTTTCAGTAGTAAGAGAAAAATACAGAGCTGAAAAATTCCGCCCAATCAAGCATCTGATGTTTCAGTCTTCAATGCCTGCATCTATTGGAATAATAGGCAAGTGTAAGAATCCGGAAGTATGCGGGAATAATCGGATGTTATGCGGAAGCGTCACGTGCACATGGATAGCCCCGCCCCCCTCACACGCGATATAATGGCACGCGCAGCATCGAGGTGAAATTACAATGTCCTCCGCTGGCGCCGACTCGGCCGTTACATTGTCCTGTACAAGCCTGCCGAGCTCCTCATGGCAAACTACAGAAAGTGACAAGGAGTCTGGATCCTGCACGTTGCAAGACTATGTCGAGTCATCAATCATGTTACAGTATAATTAGCGTCATTGATTTGTCATGTGTCCTTTTGATGATTTTGCCTGGGAATAACTGGAGAATAATGGGCAGGGATAGAAGAATAAATGGGTAGAATCGAAGAGAAGTGCGGAATAGAATAATAGGAAAAAATTGTAGCATAATAAGCCTCAGGCCTACCTGCATCCATCTGCTGACGACTCTAGGAACCAGATACTAAAATCGGACGCGCCAATTTATGCGCATGCGCATAATTACGACCCGATCACCGATCGCTCATTCGCTGTTGCAGCAACAGACGGTGGGTTAGGAAACCCAGAAAGTGGTAATGTCCCGCTATTAGGCCCTTGGGTTGGAGATGTCGACTGCTGCAATACCATTAGTCTTGGTCCTGGTCCTTTTTTCTATAATATTTCGGTGAATCATACACAAAAGCACGCAACTGTCAGGGTGAGTGGTGCAACTTCGCCTCTGCAGTTCAGTTTGCAGCAGCAGCGCTCTCAATGCATGAGCTGGCTTATTCTTTCCCCTGCCCAGCACGCTGTTGTGAATGCTCCGCAGCCAGTCACTGCACCGCTGGGGAGCAACGCCACCTTCTACTGCACAGTCTTTTTCCCCCGAAAAATCGAGTGAAAGATCGATTGTGAGATCGATTTTTGACAGGCAGAGAGCCCTTACTTTTGGCGGAAATGGCGTATATACCATAGTATCTAATTTCACGTGTACGGAGCTCAGCTAGGCCATACTTATTAACGCTTCGGCTGACAGCGGTCCGCGACCGCGTTTGCGGCCCCAACCCATCAATAAGCGGTGCGCATTTGCGTATAAATACGCGATCAACGCTGGCTGGCTCACACCTCACCTGATGTGTAGGCAACGCGCTGCCATAGATCCGCTTGCTGCTCTTGTGATACCTTGGAAGGCACAATAAACCACAGCTCAGGCTTGTATCGACTCCTCTCCCGCATGCTATCTACCGTACTATCCCGTGTCAACTCTCCGCGCGCTACTAGGGGGAGCTGGGAGTCGAGTAGCGCCATAGCCAGCCCATCCATTAGCGGTACCGCGCATGCGCAATTCGCGAGGGTGTGCTTTTCTCATTCGGTCCCGGGGAGGAAGAAAAACTCTGACGATTTTATAATGAGTTTTGCCACTCTTCTATGTTCGCTGCGGGATGCTGCTTTTTTAGCAGCGTGAGTTTCGAGATGCAGCGGTCCGAACTGTCGGCATCGCGAGCCTCGAGTTTCAGGCGCCACTGAACCCACAAAGTAGTAGCTGCTATACTTATAAAATTGAGATTTTGTTCACAGCTCCTCTCTCAGAGTGTGGATGACTGTACAGCCACGGTGCAGATTGTTGGTACAACGTCGGCTCCCAACCAGATAGATATTCCACTAGGAACTGTCTGTGTCGAGTGTGTTGTCGATGGAGTAGTAGACGCCTCATTCCTAATTGGAAACTCACCATTCCCACCAAGCCAGGGAACGCTGATGGGAGGAGTTCTGGTGGTCTATGATACTAGCGTGACCTTCCCGGCATCTCCTGCCCTGACTTTGCGGTGTAATCGTAGCTCAGGGGGTGTAAGACAGGCTTCAGTTACTTGGACGGTATGTCTCCCATGTTTGTGTAAGTGTTATGTTTAAATGGTATTGTATTGTACAGTGTATCTACCTCCAATAATCACGGGAGACTCTACAGTCAATGAGGGAGGCATGCTGTTCCTCTCCTGTGACAGCACAAACTCCAACCGAGAACCGATTGCACAGTGGTTCGACAAAGATGGCCAGATGGTGTCTTCATCTGGATTACTGAATATCCCCAACATCATGAGGTCTCAGGCTGGGAACTATACCTGTCGAACCTCTCCTCCAAACCTTGACAACTCTACCAGCACAACTGTGACAGTGGTCGTACAATGTGAGTCACAGTGTATATAGTTAGCTATGCACCAAGCTAAAAACAATCATTTCCATTAGTCCTACTTACTAGATCTGCCTGCCTGTCATTCCTCTCTCTGAGAACCAGGCATAAACATTGACTGCTATATACAAACTATGTGTCCAACAACTTTTAGCTTGCACATGTGATTAGTGAATTTCTACCGAAAGATTTTTGCTGTCTCCAAACTCTGGTTGTCAGTTCATAAGTCACAAACAGTTAGCTACTTTGAGATGTCACTTCAGTGAATGTTATACATTTGAGACTTTTCTAAAATGAAAATAGTTGTTGAGGATATCCGTGTTTATCTGGATAGAAATAGGGAAAGCACAGGTTTTTGCAACAAGCACCCTCAAGCCTATATATTACAGTTGTACTGCTGGCATTAGGAATGAAATAAAAAATTGTGCATCCTTAGTGCTACACTGTATAGTGTGTATTGTGTACAAGTGGAAAAATCATTTCTTTGAAATGAAGGGGGATGTAGGGATGTCATGTCAAAAGGAAGGGAACAAGAAGATGCCTATGTACACAAAGACAGATAGCTAGTCATTCATCACCCCATCCCTACATCTTTGTTTCTTTCAGTTCATGTATGTACACATGCAGATGTTAAGAGGTTTTTGTGCTCTTTTCGTTGCCTGATGCATTCATGACTAGCAAAACATTTCTGAGGAAAGCAAGCTGTATATAGGGATGGGATTATGAATGACCAGCTATCTGTGTTGGTGTAGGCATCTTCTTGTACCCTTCCTTTTAATCACATGTCATCCCTACATCCCTTCATTTCATATTTTTCCACTTGTAATATTTAGGTGTGGTATGTCCAACTTTCACTGGATATTTCTACTCTTTTATCACAGAGGAATGTATACGTGAGTAGCTAGCTACGTACTTTCATAACAGATAGAATAGTCAATAATCCTACATACAGCCGTGGATTCAGTGTACCAGTATGAGCCAACTGAACTGGAGGGATGTAATCCTGACAGGAATGCTGAATACCGCACTCATATCGAGGCCGAGATTGAGGCCGTGCTAAATGATAATTCTCAATGAGCAAAGACAATAATGCATTTTGCTATTAAACTTGAATTGATAAGTAGAGAGCTATAATTGTGATGCTTATGTAGTAAAATAGGGGTGATTCACTCTCTCTTAAGAT